AGCAGCAGCGTGTGTGTGTGTGTGTGTGTGTGTGTGTGTGTGTGGGTGTGTGTGTGTGTGGGTGTAGGAAAGAAAAAAAAAAAATCAGGTGGAGCTGGGATTCGGGGGGGAGCTTTCACCGGCTGTGTGAATGCGGCCCAGAGAGGCTAAGCAACAAACAAACACACCCAGAGTATAAATGGATCGTAAGGAAAGGAGGAGAGCAAGGCGTGAGGAGATATGTAACGGAGGAAAGAGAGGGGAAACATCTGTCCGCTGCGTTTGTCTCAGTCATTCTCACTCAGCGGCAGGAACACGTTTCCTTTCATCCGTCCGTCCCGCTTCTTTTCCTGACAATGATAAATCGTCTCAACTCAGTTTCAGCGGCGCGACGCCGCACAGACGCCGCTAGGGGAAAGGCCGGAGAACGAAACGGGTGCGGAAGAGAGTTCGGGAATGAAAACGACAAAAACGTGAAAACGGTGAACGCTAAGAGGAGAACTGTGTCTGTTTTCCTGTCATTTAGAAAACACTCAGCAGTCAGTCGATGCGATTGCGCCGTCGATGCCATTGACGGACTTAATAAGAGCACAAGACAGACCATCTAATCATGAAATCAATAGTCTGTCTGTGCGCGACTGAAGGAGGACGGCAGCCGCTGCATCGCCGTCATCGTGCTGTCGTTACCGACTCTCTTTTTACAGCATGCGCCTCCTTCAAGCTGCTTCTTGACAAACGGACAAGGTGGAGTGTCGGCCCATCTTCCGACTGAAACCGCAGCTCGATTGATTCAGACGGACCTTTTGTTGAAAATCCCTCCATATTTAGCCACATCTCAAAGAGCTAAATAATCGAGCTGATTCATGGAAATTTCAGGCACGAAGACGCCCTGAATGTTTCACACCTCTCTTCGACTCAACGAGCAAGAAACAGACCAACACCGGCTCCCACCAAGGAGTCGCTCCCGCCTCTAGCCTGAGAGACAGCTGGCCGAAACATCTTAACAAGCTCACTGTTGTGATTATGATTTGCAATGATAAGGCTTTGTGGCCGGCCGTGTGTTTGTCTGCCCTCAGGCCTCCGACTGTAGCGCCCGGAGAGGAAAAGGCGAGCCGAGTGGGAGTGAGGAAGATTAAAAGGAGGATTTTTGAAAGGAACCAAACGCTGTGTTTGAAGTCAGAGGAAGAACTGGTGTGTGTGTGTGTGTGTGTGTTTGAGCTCATTTAACATGTTTGAGGTGAAACTTTTGTTGTTGTTTTGTATTCCTGTGAGAAAAGGTTGATGGCTGGATTTAAAAGAGGGCATCTCTTTGCGTGAGGAGAGCACGGTCTGTTTTTGCGTCACAAAAAGATCCGCTTTAGTCACGTCGGTTTTGGTTTCTCCAACGTGGCTCAAAGCTCGAGTCGGTTTCTTACAACTTTATCACATTATTATTTCTTTTTTTTTTTTTTTTAGGTCTGTCCCAGCTGTAATTACCCTGTCTCTCAGCATCAAGTTTGCAGCGAGAGGGCCTTCCATCTGCCCTTTTATTCACTCACCTATGGTCAATCTATTTTACAGGAGCGACGGGGGTGCGGGAGGGAGGGAGAGAAAGCAGCCTGACATCTGCAGAGCGACAGGGGTTTGATGGCTTTGACAGCCACCATGTACCCTCCTCTGACTGTCCATCAGCATTACCCTTCCCCCGTCATGGCAGCTCCGTGGTTGGGCTGATAATGCAGCTTGTTAATTAGGCATGCAGGAGATTAATTGAACCGATACAAAGGTGTAAGATTACTGTTGTTGTCCTAGCCAAGGTGAGAGGAGGCAAACAAAGGCAAAGATATCATCTGCAAATAGCAGACTTCGCCTTAACGCTGCCCGTAACATGCAGCACGTAGCGAAATCATCCGGTGGACCGACTGGTGAACAAGAGTTTGGAAACGGAAAAAATCTCACCTCATTCTGACTGAGGAACGTGCCGCGCTGAAACGCAAGTGAGCAAAGAAGACTGAAAGCTAGTTTTAGGTTATTTGATGTGTGTAAAAATGATGCAGAAGTGTAAGAAGCTGTTTGAGATATATATATATTTTTTCAAAGACACGTTGAGACAAGTCCGTGGTAGGTCCAGGCTGCAAGAAAGCGAGCGAGAGCAAGACATTCAGCAGAAAGTAGGTAAGCCGTTTTCATCCTTTTGAGCTTTCCACTCCTGTCTCTGTAGAATAACAATGTTATACTGCAAATATACCTTCAGACACAGGTATATGTTTGCCATGATAGCCATGGTAACTGCCCTTTTTGCTAATATAAAAGATACAAAAGACAAAACACTGCATAACATGGCCTGGTGGTAGAGCACAGGCTCCGTACGCTGAGGCTGCAGTGATCAGATCTTAGTTTTACCATTTACTGCTCGTCTTCCTCTTCTCTCTGTAAAAAAAACCTTAAATCGGCTTAAGTCAGGATCTGTAAGTACAAGTTTTACAAAAACCACCGGAAAAAAAAAAAAAAAAATCAGGCACAAAATTCTGATCCATGCAACCTCAGGTAGGACCTACAGTACTGAAAATGTTAACGTTCTGTTAAAAATAAAAAAATGTAAAAATGAAGAAAAAGAGGATGAGCAAAGATGGATGAATCCTTCAAAAGCACAAAGGTACTAAAAGAGTAAGAAAAAAAGGATCCAGCAAAAGACAAAGAAACATCAAAGCTAGACATGCCGGAATGAGGGTCATAATCCCACAAGCACAAACCTCGAGGGTCGGCTTTAAAAAGAAGAGCAACGATTTATCTGGACAGTAAAGCTGAGAGAAGACAGAGCAAAGCGTTCTTCTTCTTTCTTTTTCAGTCCCCCTCAATCTCCTCTTTAAAGCACGACACGCGCCACGGCCGTCTTCAGGTGGGAGTTTCTGTCTGACCCAGAAACGGCAAGCCTTAACCTCGCCGACCCTTTCCGTCGTCAGCCGCCATCACTCTTCTGCTTCGTGAAAACACACGAACGTCGAGTTCCTACACACGACGACACAGCTTCTTATTCCCAGTGATAATGTTCGACCCCAGTCGGTGCAGCTCTGACAAATGGCTTCACATCAGTCAGTATAAGTCTGAGTTGGTTATGTCTGTTCAACTCAGTCGACTGTTGGGGGGGACAATTTTACTGACAAATTGATAAAAACTAATACTACTAAGCAACCTAATGTGATGTGCAACTTATCTGACAAAAATCGTGTTGGATCCATCTTCACTTTTATTTTGTTTATCATTTTAATTGCTAGAGCAACACTAAATACATGTTAGTAGGAAAGTCAACACAAGAAACAGAAATCCACCAAATGTGTTAGCCATAAGAAAGAGGTTATATCATAACAATGTGTTTGAAGATTGATTATAAAGAAAAAAAAAAACAAAAACAAAAAACAAACAAATGGGGATTGAATGCATTTACTCTGATGAAACATGAGATGGTTTCTGACACAAAACACTCAGGAAAATCTGTCTGATAAGTTGGTTATATCAAAAACAGCTGATAGGGCAAATCATCTGTTTCCTTTTTATATATGTAAAAAAAATTTGCACAAACATTTCCTGCTCAGTGGAGGTATAAAGTACTTTTGCTCCAATTAGAGTTGAATATGTCTCTCACCATCAGTCTAAATTTCTATTCATTCATGTATTTATACAACAGGGCTGACTTACGAAAGTAAAACGTGATCATGTGGAACGTGATCATGTGGAACGTGATCACGTGGTGTAACTTGTGATAAATAAACCAATAATTCAAAAGCGTCACAGTGTTTCTGCTTTACTTTGCAGCAACCAAACCCAGATAATGAAGAATCTGTTTAGCTGCGAAAAAAATAAAAAAAATACTTCCATCTTAACAAGTATTTCCTCTGAACAACATCTGCAGGGTTTCCAGCAGATTTGTCATTATGGAAAGCTTGAACAAGAGTTGGTTTATCATTTTTCTCTGAACATCCAAACTGATTTGAGTGCGACTGTTAAATCGCTGAGGCTCGTTTAGGTGATCTGGACAAGACAAACGGATGAACAGACGGATGAATTTGAGAAAATCCGCTTGACATTTAAACTTCAAACATATTTTCTTACTAAATCCATATTACAATGATACTCCTGGCGCGACGCACGTTTGTAAACTTTTCACCGGACCTCAGTGCTTCCGTGGTGGGATTTTAATCACTCGCTAAAAATGTTTAACTTCAGCAGATAAAATCTTAGTGACTCAACATATCTTTGCGTGGAGCCTTGAAAAACTGTCTTAAATCTTAGGACCCTCGCCGTTCTACTTCCCCTTCGTTGTGACGCCAGAAAACAAATGTTGGAAGTTTTGAGCTGAGTTGAGACAATCGGTATCAAATGTGCAGGTTAACCCTGGGAGTGACGGGGAGTGGGGTGGGGAGAGGAGGTGTCGGCACACCTTCAACCGTTCGAGATGGCTCAGATGATTTATTTAGGTGAGCCAGAAATCAGAGCCACTATCCATTTTTCCTCTGGGCTTTCATCATCTGATCTAAAGCAACTGTCTCACACCGACAAGAAAAAATACAACGCTAACAATTCAAATAACTCAATTACAACCGCCTCTGGTTCAAAAATCAGCTAAATCTGTGTCAGAACGACGCAGCGGCGGCGGCGCTGCCAGTCCGCAACAGTGTCTTACAAAGGGGCAAACCGAAAAGCAGCAGAATCAGGAGATAAAACACAGAGCATTTGTAAAAAATAACTGTTCGATAGACAAAAGGCTCAAGTCAATATCACGACGTCTCCCATTGACTCGTCTGACTTTGATACGGCATTTCCAGTGATGTCACCCCTATTTACAGTTCACACTAAAACCACTTCTCGCCAAAGAAAGTCCATACTCAAACTGAAAATGTTTTTATTTTTTTTCTTCCTCTTTTTCTGTCAAAAAAAAAAAAAAAAAAAAAAAAACAGGTCAAGGGCTGAGCTCAAAGAAAGGGAGAGCAACTGGATCATCTGAGAGGGTAGAGGACAAGACAAAAGAGCTGGAGCCCAAAAATGAAACAAAGAAGAAGAAGAAGGGATGTCAGTGTGGTTGTTAGAGTCCTGGCAACACCTGGCAGCACTTTGGCAGGCATCAGAGGGGACTAATAAGCAGGTTGCCTCTGTGCACCAGGGGGTGAGGAGGTGGGTGGGGGAGTGAGGGCAGAACAGAAAAAAACAGGGGCGCGGGGAGTTCATGGGCTGAGAGTTTGAAGCGGTATTTGGGGAAATGAGGACAACGGGGGAGACAGGCGAGCTGCAGGTTGCAGCAGAGAAGAGAACAAAAAAAGAAGGAGGGTGCCAATCTTTTTTTCTTGTGTTCTTTTGGTTCAGAAGCGGGCGTGGTTGTGGCCTTGGTTGAGCTCCCCTCCGTGGTGCCCCCCCTCTCTGTGGCCATGCCGCTTGTGCTTCCTGCGCTCCCTCCTCGCCTTGTGGTGGTGGCGTCGGTAACGATGGGCCCGCCGAGCTGGCGAAACGAGAGAGAGAGAGAGAAAGAAACAGTGTGATTTATTAAAGTAGAGTTCTAGAGTTAAAAAAAGAGAAAAAAACCTGGAAGACAGACATGCATCCCAGGGGGAACATCACAGGCTTTCAGATGGATTGTCGAAGGCGGTGGAACCAGGCAGGACGCAAGGGAGAGGGGATCAAAGAGCAGCAAGGTCAGAACGTCCCATTCTCCGTGCAGAGCCTGAAACGCTGAGGGCTTATCTGTTTAATCTCACACTGCGTGGACCGGGCGCCTTTAAGCAAGGGGCGCGCCGAGATAGCCACCCACTCCCATCCCTCTCACCGAGGTGAGAGCTCGTCCCGGGGCGTCGTCGTCAAATCGTATCGGTCCGACGTGTCATCTGCGACGAACGCTTACAAATTTTCTAACTCGCGGCGCGTCAAAACAGTCCGCTTCCACAGATTAGGAGTCAGAAGAAGCAATGGCGTCTTTATCAGTTTGAGCAGAAAGCTACATTATTTCAGTATTTCATCATTACTGTCACTCTCTGAGCAACGCGAGCCTCGGCTTGTGGAATATTAAAGTGAATCTTGCTCCTTGCGTGTCCTCTTGACTTTCTGCTTCCTGTGTAGTCTGAGAGTCAAATCTGATCAGAACAAAATTAACTCTGTAAACGCTAAGAAAGGGGAAGGTGTGCGACAGAGGGAGGACATTTTAAATCCAGAGTCAGCCCTCCGGGGCCGGAGTCCTGCTTGGCTCACTTCTCTTCCTGGTTGTAGTTGCTAGAGCCATCATTTGACCGAGGTGTGTTGGACCAGGGGAAGACATGTAACATGCAGGACACCGGGTCAAACGTGTATTTCTAAAAATCTTTTTCTCAAAGTGATGTTACTGTGAAACAAGTAACATCACTTTAATGCGACAGATTTTATGTCTGTCGCATAAAATCCCATGAAAATACACTGAACACAGTGATTGGAATATAACAGAATGTGAAAGGGTTTAAGGTCGATGAACCTGACTATTTTATTCCTGGGTTTTTGCGTCATGAACATGCAAAAAAGAGCGAAAAATGCTGAACATTAAGCACACATCTATTCCATTGCATTGAGTCTGAACCTGTTGTAAAACATGTTTTTAAAGAGGGGGGGGGGGAACAACCTTGAGCATAACGCACTTCAAAGGATACCCAATCACTTCTGAGCAAGCCCAGGGGAATTAATTCAGGCCACAGCCACGGTAATGTTTTTTTGCTTGCAATTATTAATAATGAGAGCAGGGCTGGCGAGCCACAACGCTCACAGTGACAGCCGAGCCTCAGGGCTGCTAATGTAGGTTCGATGTTCGGGACCCGTGGCGGGGAACGCGCTAAAAATAAAACAAACCAAAGCACGGCTTTAGGTAACGTCTGCGAGAACCGTGCTGTGCAAAACTCACATCTTATGCAGATGATTTTGGGTCGGTCCCACTTGCCGTTGGCGCGACACTTAGCAGTGGGAACATGGCGCTGCAGGAAGCCGTCGCCGCACTGGTAGCGCACTATGGAGTGGATGTCGTAGTGGGAACGCTTCCGGCCAATTAGAAAGGCATTGTCCACGCTGGGAGGGGCGCCGCAAAGCACTGGGGAGAGACACAAGGGAGCACAAAGAGGGCAAGTTCAGAGCAGAGGAAAACAAGGACGAAAGAAGGCAGCTGGACCTGAACTGAGCCGAGCACGACGGTCCTGGATTAATCAGATTTATGCCAGCATCGGGTACGTGCTCACAGATGCCTCCAAAAGACCAAGCGCCAATGCTGATGCGGACAAATGGTCAACAACATGTAAACATGGATTTATTTTTATTTTTTTTTTTTCCAGCATTTGAAGCTCAGAAAGATTAGGAGAAGTGAAAAAGTCACTTCACAAACACATTCGAGAAAAAAACAACAACTGATAACTATAAACCAAAACAGGTCATACAGCAAAATATTATACAGATAAATCATACTGCAAAAACTAACCTTTACTTTGCTACCTCCCCTCCCCCCAATGTTATTGGAATCTAGTTGTAGTAAAATTCACTAAAATTACTGGTGTGCTACAATCTTTATTGGAAAATGTTCTTTTAGCCCATTTGAATATTTATGTAAACAGTACCTTATAGTGCTAACGCTATAACTACCTTATAGGTTTAACAGCTAAACTCAATAAGCTGAATAACTTGGCTACCAAACATTGTTTAGATGTTGATGTGCAGCTGCTCTAATGCTTTAAACACCCATTACATTTTTGATGAGTAGGCACTCTCTGTCATTTAGAGCAGTAGAAAAACAGGAGAATAAATTTTAATATCTTTAAGATATAAAATAATAATAATAAAATGTGCTCCTGGTTTCATAACAAAGCAATAATTTGAAAGAAATAAACTAATAATGAAGAAATGAAAAGATTATGCTCTATTGCATGTGTGCCTTGTCTAAAACATAGATGTCACTTCTTTTGCAAAAACAAAACATAAAAACATCCTGTCTTACTTCCTCTATCGAGATTTTTAAAAATAGTTTCCAAGTTGTCTGCTTTAGCTAGGTTACACCGCCCTCTTCATTACAGAAGTAGTCTTTAAATTGTGAGGACTATATGGGTTCATCATCCCTACAAAATCCCAAATTTAAGGACACATACAGACACACGTTCAGACTTTGGCTCACGGTTTTCTTAGAGCATTACCGCACTGAAAACATCATAATCTGGATTTCGTTTCTGCAGGACAGCAAAGTTGGTGTAAGACTGAGTGTGAGTGGGCGCCTGTCAAGGTAAAAAAAAAAAAATGCAATTTTGACATAAGGGGAGAGGAGCGAGGATGAGAAAAATGTTTACAGAAGCTGCAGGAGATAGGGCTGACACGCTGTGCAGAGACTGATGGGACGGGAGAGCCACAGGGAAGAACTCCAGCAGGCTGAGGCTGTCTGGTTACAGGAGTCACAGAGCTGACACTCAGCTGTCACCTGCTTCACATTTAATGTGCATCTATTCTACACTTAAAAAGCTAACAGCTCACAGTTAGGTCTCATCTAAATGTTGGTAATGGACATTCGTGACGCAGTCAGTTCTGAACTAATCACAATGGTACAGTTTTATTTCGTAGTAATCCCAAACTGCATGTCTTTTCTAGGCAGAATTGTACTAAAAAAATAACAAAAAATCATCATCCTCATCAACAACAACTTTTTGTAGCGCTGTAACACCTGAGACAAAGTGCTGAACATCGCTAATAGATAAACAATATAAAGAAAACATGCATTTAGACAGACAAAATCTATACGAAAAAAAAAATGTTACTAAAAAGTATTGTTAAATCGACTTCATTTATTCAACAAGTGAGAAAAATCAAACGTTAAGAACTAACTGTTTTTAACAAAATCGCGTCATCAAAGCTTTTGGTACCTTTGCTGTTAATACTTTGCACAACCGATCCTCAACAGGACAGCATTCGGTTTTTGTTCAGACTTGTTGGTCCACTTTTGTGTTTGCTTGTTCATACTTTTTGAATCAACCTATCGAAGCATATCAAGTAGGCCAATAGGTACTCATACGCATTTTTAGTTCTTTTTTTTTTGGTGGAGTTCACCAGATTTCTTTCCATTAAAAATGTCCTACTGTGTAAAAAGTTAATGATGGGTCCGCGTGATTTTTCACGAGATTCGTCGCTGGTCGATCAGCCGCTGGCTCGTCTAACCAGTATCAGTGAAGCTGAAGAAACTCTACATGTTAATGTTTGTGATGGCAGTATAAATATGACCTTTTTTTCCCCCTGGGATCACTCATAACCAACCAATGGCTGTTTTGGAGATTTAAAAAAACCTCAAGATGTCGCCACTGTTTGCAGTCCTCCACCTGTGAGTTTACCTCACCTAACATCCTGGTCACTGACAAGACAAACACAATACATGTCGTCCACCTCGGTGATCAGCGGTGATGAGAAATGTCCTGAGTCGAGTCATATTTATAGTCCAGAGAAACAGAGGGCTACTAATTAGTCGTAAATGAATGAAAGCAAGTATAAATGAAAACGCTTGACTTTCATTCAGTGATTCTGCTCAAAACAATTCCTTCCAGAAGACGGGATTTTCCTCCAATGAAGAAATGCACTCAAATTAAGCATCCCGTTTTATACATTTTTCATGCACGACTTTGCTGCCGCAATAAAAGATTAATATATTTTGAGGCGTTCTTCACATTACGTTACCATTAAATGCGGCATGGTGCCGATAAACGTGGCTCTCACTTCAAATACTGTCTGACAGTCAAACTACCACCGATTTGAACTTTATTTGCGCGTCACAGGAATAAGCAAATACGCAATCAGGGTATCTTTGTAAGTTTTGGCAATGTGAATGATTCAACAGCCTCTAAAAAGGCGAAGCGATATCATTAATTCAGACGGAAATCCTAATGCCACATTTACAGTTTAATGGGTTGTGAAAGAAGAAGGGAGGGGAAAACCTGACTCTTTCTGACACAGGAAAATCACTGAGTCAACAAAGACGGAGGGCTAAAAGGCAGTTTTCTCTTTGCCTACAAGCCTTTTCCCCATGTGGAGTGTTTTTTTCTTTTACTTTCTTTTTTTTTCTTTTTTTCCATTTTGCAGTGATGGCAAGACGAGTCAGATATACTGAAAGATGGATGAAAGAAAATGTCACTAAACCCAGAAGAAGCAACCAAAGCAGAGATTTCACAGAGCACTTTTTAAGTCAGAAAAGGTCTTTGCAGCATAAAACCCTGGATGTCAAACTCTTATAAGTCAGAATGAAAAGATCTACACCAGAAAAGCCACACACACAAAAAAAAAAAAAAAGTTGTTCACAAGGCAGCGGCAGACCGGAGGCGCAGGCGTACACCTGGAAACCGCAGGATTACCTAGACTACTTCATATATTTTCCTCTTGTGTTCAGGAATTTTACACGCATTTAAATAATATAAAAAAAAAATGTACACTTCATAAAGCTTACCAAGACACGTTTGTTTATGTTTTCTAAAAGTCGCATACATTGGATGTGTTTATTCATGCTGGGAGCAGCTACAGAGGTATTATTTGCGCCTTTATGCCTGTGTAGCGGGGGGTTGTCAGTGTGAGGTGGAGGAACGCGAAGAGCTGCAGACAGCTTGATGCTGAGTCCTCTCATCGCTGCTTTACGGCCTCAAAGCATCCGCTCACCCACTGACAATCACGACAGGGGAAAAAAACGAGAGAGATGTGAAGCGGCTGTATGTGTGCATTTTCGACCAGGGGAGAGAGAGAGAGAGAGAAGCTCACGTGGAAGAGCTTCATGTGGACAGATTCGCTTTTTTTGTTACTAAAAATGACCAAAATGCAAAATGCTCGTCTTTGTGAATGTTGCAGGTGACGGGGCTGCAGGGAACGACTGAGAGATGATGGTTTCGTTGTGCGGCGCTGTTAAAACACAGAGATACAAAGCGATTAAAAAAAAAAAAAAACGTCCCGAAACCAGAGTAGGTCTGAGTCGTTTTCCTATAATGCTCTTGTCATCTCTCTGCAGTTTTTTACTTCTCTAGATGAAAGTATGAATCTTTCTTAGAGCAAAAACGAACGCTAAATATATACACGTTGCAAAAACACAAAACCTTAAAGTATTTTTGGTCTAGAATCTAGCGTAAATATCTTAGTGCGCTTGAAATAAGACCAAACTAAGTTCAAAGTAACTTTTTAGAAAGAAATGGAGCTTGTTTTAAGTAAAACATGTAATATTTCAGTGACAGATTATTTCACTTATAACTTTTTCATTACCATTAAGAAATTACTGATTTAATACTAACCTGTAATAGGTCTACGTTTCCAAATTTTCCTCAAAATGCTATTTAGTGGTGCATTATTGTCACAGTAAAAATGGCAAAAAAAGAACATACTTTTACTAAAATAAGTTAACACACTCTATCTCTTCTACGAAAATGCAAAATGTAGAATTTGACATCAAGTTTAGCAACTTAATATTCTGTATTTGTAATGAAAATGTAATCCGAAGGTGAACAATTTTCCCAGTTTCAACAAGTAGATCAGTAATGAGGCTCGGTATTTGAACAGCATCTAAACAGACTGTTTTGTGAGGAGCCTGTATATACATATATATTTATATATAATGTTACTCATTTTAATCTCTTTCCTCTTCTGAATTAAACAGGAAAAAAAAATCATCGCCAGCTGCTTGATGCGCCTCCTTGACTGTCTCCCAGGTGGTCGATCAATGTCTGATAGCTTCATGTGACTAGAAGACAAACAGATCACCTGAGCGGGGGTAATTAGAAATCCGGTGGGGAACTCGCAGCGTGGCGCTGACAAACTCCACTGATCGGACAAGACGGCGCGCGGGGGGTAACTTGGAGTGAAGAGGGGGCTGACGGCGGGGAGCAGCGGGAAGATGAAAAGATTCTGGTGATTTCAAGTGACTGATTGAGGTCAGAGGTGGGCCGGATGCTGGGGACTTGTGACAGTGTGCTTCAGAGGTGGTGCAACACCTTCCTTGTGAAGGAAACAGCTCTGCGCTTATTCTGAAATAGAAGTAGGACCGCCTCCGGAGGGCTCTCTAACGTTACGTCAGTGTTGCGGAGAGGCAGACTTGATTTGGTTAAATTATAATGGCTGTCTAGCTTTCTCCTTCACAGCTCTTTACTGCGACATCCTCAGCAAAACCTTTAATTAGTCGTGGATCCATTTGTGTTTTCGGTTTCTCGTCTCCGTTGCCATTTAAAACAACCGGTTAATTGCTGATTTATAGATCAGTCAAAGAGATGCTCAGAGAAATTCACTGTTGCAGGCCAGATAAAAGGTCAAAAAATCTTTCACCGACGTTTACCTGGTCGCACTGCCAGAAACAACCTGCGGTGTGGAAGTCGTCGCTAAGAGAAGAAGGCCCATGTGCCTTTGATCTTAAATGCGTCCTGTATGGAAATCAGTGGCAGTTTTCTGGGTGTAGCACAGAGAGAAACCTCAACAGGTGCCAACAAGTTCACAAAGGAACAAACTAGTTCATATGTTTGCTCTGTTGTCTACGAAGACCAAGTTTTATGACAATAATTTATGAGCAGCGTGCTGAGAGCTGCCTAACGCCAGGAAAAGAGGACGATGCGAACGCAGGTAGGGAGGCTCTGAAGAGCTGAACGTGTCCTGATTGAAGAGGCTCAGAGGTAATATCTACCTCCATACAGGAGGCGTGTGTAATGTAAAATATGACACAGTCAGGGTGTTCATAATCATCTTAAGGTTTTTTTTAATATATCAATCCCTGAGGTTTAACAGCAGGAACACTTCTGAACTGATTTACATTTAAAAAAAATTCACAGAAGAAACTTTTGCTCTCCTTTTTTTAAATATATATATTCCTCATAATTGCACTTTTGAGTCTCAAACTGAACAGAGGAGCAGAGTTGTTTTCCGCCGTCTCCGTCTTGCTCAGCCCCTGCTCCTCGGTCTCGCTCTTTGAATCTGACGAATTTCTCTCCCGTCCTGCCGAGTGCCGCTTCGTACCGCAGCCCCAGGCTCTCACCTGTTCCCTTCTTGCAGACGTAGGGCAGATTGTAGTTGCAAGGCACGTCGTTCCATTTGCCGTTCTCGTGGGCGATCATTACCACGCAGTCCTCTCCTCCGGCAAAGAAATTGTCCGGCTGGTTTTCCCGCCAGTTTTCATATTGCTGCAGACGTAAAGAAAAGCACACACGCAGAAAGTTAATTAAGACAACAGCTGAATAAAAAGCGTGTTGAATGTTTTTTGATTATACAGTTTTATTCACTATGGGGAGGCAATAAGATCTCATTAAAACGGCATTAGATTTCTTGTCAAAGTGTCATCCATCTCTAAAAGTGATTTCTAGGTGTCTGCTGAAATGAGTTTGTGCTTTTTTGTCAGCTCTGAATATGAAGGGAAATGCTTTGAAACAGACGCTATGTTTGAGATGTTTGTTTCGAACAGAGAAAGGAAGTACTTCTCTGATATGCCGTCAGAATCAGCTAATAAAGATTTGGTGAGACTTGCTGCTAAAATTTGGTTACATTAACATTGGGAAATCCTCCGTTTCCTTAAAATAGCTTTTGTGGGAATACTCTGGGTTATCTGCAGAACAGATAAATGGTGCCAGAATGAGGTACAAATTAGGTAAAAACAATTTGCAAGCAGTCTGAGAAAACCACAGCTGGCATTTGATATAATCTAACTTCCTGCTACATTGTAGCTAAAGGGCCATTTCACTGTTTTTAAGGTGTCTGGAATCCACTAGATCATGTTTAATTTATTTTTACACAATTTGCAATTAATGAAACCTCTACAGATTTTGTGGAGAGAAAAAGACTTTGTATTTTTTTCAAAAATACAACCAAAATTCCACTTCTTCTCATTCTCATGAAACCAGGATTATGCAGTCTCATGCGCTTCAAGTAATCTTGTTCACGGTATTTGGATTTTTGTAAAGTTCTGTCTGCATTTACCGCTGTGTTTGTTTTCGTTGGTGTGGGCGATTTTCCAATATTTACCTTTAGTTTTATATTAGTGACAAATCCTGCAACGATGTTGGTAACAAATCACATCCTTCATATGTAGCATTTTAATCTCTGCTGGTTAGAAGTAACTGCGTCCTCACCAGGTCTGTCTTGTCCGTCCACTGAAAGTCGTCCTCCACCGTACGATCGTTCAGCCCGATCCAGGTATTGTCATGGCTCAGACCTGTGTCAGACGTAGGACAAACGAATAAATCAAGACTTAGAAATCTTATATTTAACCAACACTTTTGCTAAAATGTAATGGTGTTTCTCCAAGTCTGCCTAAAACACAAAGAATGTATGAGCTGAAATATCCAAATGAAGTTTCCTGGGTTAAGACTGAAGGTCTTCTGGCTGCAGCTGAGAGACAACAACAGGAACCAGTAATGTCTGAGACGCACTAATGGTGACTGTTGACTGGTTTGTTTTGTTTTTGTGAATGAAATTTCCCTAATGGAATTTTGGCTTAAACTCATTTGCATGTGTGGGCGTGCAAAAGTCCCTGCACATACTGTACGTATTAAAATTTCAATCACGTTGACGATTAACATCATTACTGGGTCCATTAATCTTGCTAATGGCTCTGAACCCTTTATTGCAGGGGTGGAGACACACATTTTCAACTGAGCACTTTTTTTCTTTGGAAATTTTGAAAAAAAAGAAAAAAAACAGAAGTGGTGGTGGATGGATGGCACTGTGGCCTCACTGAGACAGACAGCGAGTTGAACATTTCAGGATCATGCTGCTGGTGATCCTGATGTTATAACTCAAGTGGCGATAGAGTGCCGCTGGAGGGGGAAACGGAGGCGCTGAAGAGACGAGGCACCAAGAGACAGAACAGAGTATGTTCACGTTGAAACAAACGGCTGGTCGACAAACACACTGTACAGTGAGCCTGAGACAAGCAGAAGTATAGGAATCAGACACTCGTTTAACTAGAAAACTTGTAATTCTATATTTACTTACCATAAAAAAACAAAGAAATATGTATTTGCTTTAAATGAAGTAGGTGTAGCATACACAAGCTGAGGTTACTGTTTCTTTGCACAATATACAGAGACCCAGTTGTTGATAACACGGCTTGGAGGCACATCTGTAGACGTATTTCGAAGAATCACCTCAAACCCTCTACTCCCTTGTGTGACATCATGAAAGAAGTAATTCGGGGGAGGGGGGGGGGGAACTGAACTCTGTCTGATTCGTTCTTGGAAAAAAATCTCAAAAAGCCTGAAGGTGAATTGATCACCTTCAGTTTGTGAAGAAAAAAAAAAGAAAAAAGAAATCATTATCAAAAGGACAGTATCTGTCAGTTTTGCACAATACTTTTTAAATCAAAAATAGTGAATTATAAAATCAGTTTACTGTTGCTTTGACCATTTTCTCCCTTATCTAGCTAAATTAAAAGCTTTGAATAATAGACTACATGTCATCATTTTATGCTGATGCAGGTTTGATTTCAATCAAATCGTTTTATTCCAAAATTAATCTGTCATTTTTCTTTTTCCAAACTTCGTGGTTACGTCTTGACTTCAACGGCCAGTAAGAACTCTGCAGTCATATATGTGTTGAGTTTTGGCTCCTCTGTTGAGGATTAGAAGTTTTCTGTAAAAAAAAAAAATAAAAAAATAAAAAAAATAATATAATCATAAAAAAATGATTAAAACACTTTCTCTCGCGAGTTTCTTCTGCACCTCCTGCATTTGTGACGATTCGTCATAATGTGCTCAGCGAATCTATTAGCGATAACAAAAGAAGTAGCACGTAAGCAAAACCATTTCAAATAAATACAGAGACTGCACTGCTTTGATGAAATCCCCTCCCAGGTCTGGTTTCTGTAGGTTTTCTCTCTGTGAATAGATTGTGACCTCCACCCACCTCTGATGAAACTCTGCTCTGCTGCAGTGTGGATGCTGGCCAGGTGACCGCTGTGCTCCCTGCAGTCCTTCTCGGCGTCCTCCCAGGTGTGTCTACGGCTGAAATACCTGTAGCAGTGGCCGTGAAACTTTCTCCACGAGTGCTCGCAGCCCTCGAGGTCTGCGAGAGGGGAGGGAGACAAGAAGCGTTAACTAAAAAAAAAAAAAAAGGCTCATCTTGAAATTTATGCATGCTTTTTTTTCTTTTTTCTTTTTTACTGAAATTGGTAAACATCCACACTGTAACAAAACAGAGAGAAGGAGAGTCCAAGACTATCAGAAGGGAGAGGTTATTAATCTTTTCAGATGTCTTTGTGTGTTCACACGGCCCGTTTCCTGTCTCGTGGCGTACGGGATTTTTTCTTCTCTCGTGAATCTCCCCTCCCCCCACCCCCCATCTCCCCTCTTGCACCGTTTTGCCTTAAAGTGCCCTTTGTGACACTGCTCTCTGCCTCCGTACCCTTTTCTGCTTTCTGTCTTCGACTCGACTTCTAATCCACCACAGATGCAAGCCGGCAGTGAGACAGCTTAGTCCAGTGGAAAGGCGTTTTAATCCGTTCAAATGACAACAATCCTTAGAAATGGCTTCCAGCGAGCGGCGCTCGCTTGGTAATTAAGCCCCGTCACAGTCCTGTCAGCGCACTTACTCTCCCTCCACCCATCCTGCTATCTCTTCCTCCTTCTCTCCTTTCATCTTTTACATCTGTTCCCTCCTCTGTCATCTCGGTGAGGGCTGCGTTGTGTCACTGTGTAAAACGTGATGTGTGCGTGGCGTTCGGCTTAAGCTTTGCACCGTTTGAATGCTTTACAAGCGGGTTTATGCATAATCGATGGAAAGTCTTCTTTGCCAACGGTATGATAATCAGAAAAAGAGCCCAAGCTTCTCCAACAACAAATATGAAGCAACACCGCTGTTCAAGTTGGACCTTATGGGGCCCCCTTTAGTATGACGAAAGATCTAGATTTAACCGCGAAGGACACGAGAGGAAAAAGTGAAGTATTACACAATAGGATGTTTTGAGATGTAATCTGAAGTAAGAGCCTGAAAATCTCGCTCTCACTGCAACCTTTTTGGAGTACAGCGCCATAAAGATGAATGACATAGCTTCATCAAATGGAGTGGAGTGTGTTATTGTGACAAGGCCTGCCTCACGGGGTGAGATAAAGCACATTATTTGCGGCTTCGCAGACACGGTGTCTGCAAACTAAACAAAGTGAGTTTGGACGCAGAAATTCGCTGCGGAAAACATGAAAGGTGAAGGCACAACCGAGGTCAAAGTCTGAGTAACTCCGTAAATGAAATGATGGCAGGTCTGTAAAATGTTTGCACTTGAAATATCTTTTGACGATTTTTAGTAAGTTTTGTACAGTGTCACTTAATGCTTTGGGCGCTTTTGCACTGTTTGAAAATGCATCTATACCAGTGAGTCAGGCCCATCCTCATCCTTCATCTTTGTTAATTGCAAATTTTGTGGCTCGCTGCAAGATCCTCTTGAATACGAACTTTTAAGATTCACTGTGTTCTTCTGAGTCCAGACCGGATGCGTTACTCCTGCCGTATTATCTCAGTTTGAGCTTTTTCTGCATTTAAGGATCAACCGACCATTTGGGATTTTAGCTTCGTTGCTTTTTGAGTTTCCGCCAAGTGACCAAGTAATGATGACCTTAATCAATGAGAAAGTAGAGCAAGCTGTCGGTTTTGCTGTCGGTTTGAATTACCCTCCTTTTTGCAGGGAGTAAAACCTTCGTCAGCAGAGACAGGGTAACTTCATAGTACTGGATTAACCACGGTTAATCCAAACAATTGCTTTTCTGTTTTGTCTGTTTCATACGCTAATTCACTCTTGAGCTCAGACCAAATATTCAGTCACAAACGTATTGGAGTGGCTCTTTCTGTCTGCTTCCTGATATCCATTAAGCAGGCCTGGAAGTTGCTCGTCGTAATTCTGTTGATAACTTTGATGTGGCGTTTTGTCTCATTAGTTCTCCTCCTCAGATATCTCCCGGTGATGAGAGATTTTTAGTCTCAGGTCCTCAAAATATGCTGAAAACATAAAACTCAATTAGCCGTCCTAACAGGTTTCGCTTGCTCCCGGTACTCAGCGGCCCCTCCGGTCCAGCTCATTAATTCGGGGCAAAACGAAACTGGGTTCAACATGAGCTGAGACGCTCTTTCATTTTGGCATTCTGGATGCTAGCATTTAATCTTTCCCTGAAGACATGAAGCTCAATCTTTTGTTAGACAGAATTAAGAAGTCACATTTTTTCCCCCCCCACCGTGTTTTACCAAAAGCCTTTTTCTTGCTCAGAGACAAGCTGATAATGCGCTTCACTAGAAACGCTTGGGAAAAAAAAAAGAATCGAAAGAACTTTTACCGCTGTTTTTGGCCTCACTAATGATGCCAACAAGCAAAATAGAGATTTGACGAGTGGAAAAACTTGAAGAACTTAAGAGGAACGACACAAAGATTTACTGAAGAGCAAGAAAGTTTGCAGAAAAACAAAAAAAAAAAAAAAAAAAAAAAAAAAATATAACAAATGTCTGACAGGACACTCTGCGAATTGTGTGGACGGGAGCGACAAAGATCCGAGGCTTCAGCCGCAACGGGGGAAGAGCATGATAAAACCCTGGACAGAGTAAAGAAGCTGAGCGTGGCTTTCATGAGCTTCAGCTCAGCAGGACACTCTGCGCTGCCTTCACCCGCTGCCCCTGGCAGGTCCGTGCCAGAGCTCACATCTTCCATGCAGAGCCTGTCACAGCTCTGCAGTCACACACGCTGCAACAGAGCCTGGGACCTTAACGCAGCATCACATGTAATGCCCCACTCACCAGGACACAGTCAGCTACCTGAGCCTCACCTGTCTCCAGCAATCAACTGAGAAAAGCGACTGGAGCAGCTGAACCGAGACACGGCTGCATATCCAGTTGGTGCGAGGTGCTGGGCTTTCAAAGCCTGTGCAATAAGTTGGACTCTGCAGGAAATCTTTATTCTCATTATGTTGGGTTCTGCAGGGGAGTGTTTTCTCTACATTTTCAGGGTGGCAGGCTGATGGGATCCAGCTGGTGCTCATAATCTCCAATCAGCAAGGGCCTTTAGTAGGAGCGGCTTCCCGGAAGAAGATGCTAGATGGTTCTGCTTCTACAGTGGTACACTCTAGCTCTCAGTGCTGTGTCGAAAGTGTTTAACTAGTTCCTGACGTCTCTCCCATCTCTTCCTTCCTCCTAGTACCAGCTTTGACCGCTCTCTGAGATTCGGATCCACCTGGACTACCTTACCCTCGCTGTTTTGCTCGGCCTAGCCCCAGGATTCCTCCATAACCACCACCCTGCTGCTGCCTGTCCACCCTCAGTTGCCTGCTGGAACTCCTCCACCTCAATGCCCCAACTGTTGTACCCTCCTCTGCTCATCAGAACCCTCAAACCGTAAGCCATCACCGGGTTACACCATCATTCCCGTCATTATTCCTCTGTCTAACCGCTCACCCATTTCTCAGTTCCTCCTCTGGCCCGGTTCCTCCCTGCTGCCGCTGATCTACACCTCTCCATCCTCCCTCCATTTACACCTTATTGTTTAATAAATCTGTTAAACTGCGTTTGGTCTCCGTAGTTGTTGCTTGCCTTAGAGTCCTGGTACCTCACATTATGACACATTAAGGATCAGGAGAAGGCCGTTGCGCCCTGCAAGGCATTGCTGCCGTGTTTCAGTAGTTGTTCATCTCCCATGTTTGGCAAAATGTTTAATCTGTAAAAGGAAAATGGACTTTTTTTTTAAAAAGCATCGCCCTGCTAACGTTTCCACGGCAACTATTTTATTGGGATTTAATGATGCAGACCGACAAAAAGTATTTTACGAAGTGGAAGGAAAACGATGCATGGTTTCTTGCGTATAAAAATCTGCAAATTGTCGCATGCAGGCAGCCTACTTTACTCACCTACTTAGTAAACAGTGTGCATGTAATGCTAATTCCAGCAAAGGGCTGAAAAACATATCACAATGTAAGCATCTTATATCAGTGGATATTGATAATTATTGACTAGTTTTTTGTTTTAAATATCTGAATTACTGGCGGTGTGACCTTTCCTATCCTAACCACAGTTTTCATTCCAGTTACGAAGCACGATGGCAGGACCTGAAACTGCTGCTGCGCAAGGCACGCAACACGTTGTTGCTAGGTAACCAAAGAGCGAGTGAGTTAGCTGACGCCACCCATCTTGGCCTACATCCCCCACAATGCTGTGCGGTTGTAGATCGGAGACGAAGTTCAGTAAAATTACTGGATAATCTATCAGACATATTATCTATTAATATTGATGATGTGTCTACTGCGACATTGATTTATTTCCCAACATTACATCTAAGCAGGGGTCTGAGGTTGGACTAAAAAGGTGATGCTGTGAATCCAATCTGACTGAAACCTTTTCTTGTCTCTAGATGTACAGCAGCTGGTAGAAACAAAAATAAAAACAAACAAAATTGGCACTTTAGCTGCAGCGAAAGGTGGTCCTTTAAAGACTCGAGGGGAATGAATACAAAATGCACGCCACACTTTTCAGATTTCCATTAGAGAAATCAGTCAACGTGTAATTGTTTCAGGGGTGAGGACGGCAAAGAGCTGAAGAGAGAGTCCACGTTTCGCAGCAGTAGTTTCCTCGGCATGCTTGCGAGCACAAACATCTGATGAAGCAACAACCAGCCCGATGTTGTCTCAGGTCTTTTGGAGCCGGAATCAGGCAGTGCTGCTTGTCATTTTATCTGCTGACAGCTAACTTTGGCTTTTATGCCAGCATCTAACCTGGTTGCCGGCTGCTAAAAGTGTCCACCCACATGGCAGCTGGTACATTGTATTAGCCCTGGGAGTTGGTCCAGTTTGGCTCATGGAGGTAGAGAAAGGTTTGTTATCTACAAGAACAGGGACAGGAGACTCGGGGTAGGTGTGACAGGAGGGGAAAGAGAGAGGAAGCACACAGAAATTCACACTTTTGTACACACCCTATGTTGGAGAGGGGGGAAAAAAAAAAAAAAAAACATGACCGGTGGCCCAGTGCTGCTCTGATTAGAGCCTTAACCAATGGGTTTGAAATATAAGCTGCAAGCAGAAATGCCAATGCCTCAGGAGGCCTAAAAAAAAAAAAGAGCAGCTAACTCCAGAGTGGGTGTAAAGAAAACAAAGAAAAAAGATAAAGAGACGAGAAGAGAAATACAAAAAAAAAAGAGATCAAAAATAAACAGCCATGTTTTCTCCCCCTCAGATCTTCAGCGAAGTCTCTGCTGATTTCTTCTCCCACTCGCTGACAGCGCGGCTCAAAGCCCGACATCACATCAACCTCTTCAAATATTTAGACATTATTCAACTTGTCTCCTTTTTCTCATTTTTACTCTGTCAGACAGAGAGGGAGGGAGAGAGGGAGGTGGGGGCCGATTAATATTCCCAGAGACTCCAGCGAACAGCAGTTAGGAAATAAAAGGCCATAAACTTCCAGCGAACTGATTGGGTCGTTTATCCACATCGCCGAGTGATGTGTCGGGTGCCTGGCTCTTTTAGATCCCCCTGAACGATGAAGCGGCTGTTTGCATTTACACACGCGGTGTAGGGGAGCGCGCCCGCGTGCGTGTGTGTGCTTTGCTTCGCCTCTTTGAAAGCTGACAGCTCAGTGTGCCGTTCGCGAGAGGGCAGATGACAGTGGTCCGCCGAGGAAAGAAATGAGTGAGAGCGAGAATCTGCTGATAGCCAGTGTCAAAAAAAAAAAAAAAGTGCGAGTGTGTCAGGAATGTGCAAACGGCTGAGGATTTAATAATGGCTATTATGAGCTTGGTGTTGATTAATGGAACATCTTAATAGTGTGATTCTCACAATTAGCACTAATGAATGTTGCCGCGTCGGAGCTGGAGAGCACAACAGGAATGACCGATGCCAGTCTGAGGAATCGCTCTGCATAATTATACCCCAGATGAGTCTTTGCCGATTGATGCCGATGGAGCAGGCTGATATGCAAGCACAAGAAATTGATGCCTTTCTGTCTAGAAGGGAAAAAAAAAAAAAAAAAAACTGAATATCAAACGGGGGGGTGGGTGTTTAGGCCAGGGATTTTAGCTAGCGG